AAGTCCTCTTCTTCTCGCATTGTTACAAACGATATTGTTTTCTTTATTGTTATGAAAGAAACTCACCTAATGTGTTTTATTATTTGCCTGATCCGGTTCCGTAAATTGAAAATGCAGTCTAAAGTCCTCTTTTTTTTTTACCCGAAGATACTGTAAATCAATTATATATTTCCAGAACCATTAAGGATACACAAAAAGCCAGTTTCTTCAAAAATATTATTTAAAAGTATGTGTGTGATTTATGTTGTTGGCCTATTTTTTGTTCGTATCTACATTAGCTGCAATGCATCTCGGTGAAACGTTAATGCTATTTTTTATTTGTTTGTTTTATTACTTTTTTTTTCAATCACGTGTTATAACAATTGGAAGATAGATAGCAGGTGTAGTGCTCTATATGCATGTATATATCTATATATACTATGTATACCCTCAATATTTCTTTTGACTGATAGAAGACGTTCATGTAATGGAAACACCAATGTACACAACAAGCGATGGATAATCATGCAGTCGAGATTAAGGGAAGGCACGAATATCGAATAAAAGATAGTCTGTTCATTTTCATAGCAGATCAAGCAAAGCAGAAGGTGCGTTACTATTAAAAAGACGGAATGTGGAAGCTGGAATTCCTTATCCACCAGTTAATACGTGTGAGACAACTTGACAATCAGGATTTCTTTACTAATCATCGAATTTACCATTTTACTAGTATGATCTATGCATGGAACTCTTAGCTTTCAGTGGTGCTGTTCTTCATACAGTTTCAAATCCAATGTATGTTATAGAATATGAGGGGTGCTATTCTTCATGCAGTTCCAAATCCAATCTATGTTATAGAATATGAGGGGTGCTGTTCTTCATACAGTTCCAAATCCAATGTATGTTATAGAATATGAGGGGTGCTGTTCTTCATACAGTTTCAAATCCAATCTATGTTATAGAATATGAGGGGTGCTGTTCTTCATACAGTTCCAAATCCAATGTATGTTATAGAATATGAGGGGTTCTGTTCTTCATACAGTTCCAAAGTTGGTGTATTTTTGCAGGACATCAATTATGCCTTTTCAGTAAGAAATGTTTTAGAAAGAAAAATGGGACTTGGAACTTATTTTGCATATGTCATTCATATATAAAGATATACGAGTTATTGAACTGATTCCACTGTATATTATCTTTTTTAACCATATCACCTTTTTTTAAAAAAAAATATTACTGTAAAATTTTGTAGTTCAATAGCATGGAAGTTTTATATAGCTATCACTTTTTGATTGCACATCAGTGTATATGTTAATACAATAAATCATACACACCAATATATTGTGTTAATACAATAAATCATACACAACAATATATTGTGTTAATACAATAAATCATACACAACAATATGATGTGTTAATACAATAAATCATACACAACAATATATTGTGTTAATACAATAAATCATACACAACAATATGATGTGTTAATACAATAAATCATACACAACAATATATTGTGTTAATACAATAAATCATACACAACAATACATTGTTTGTTTGTTTGTTTTGAATTTCGCGCAAAGCTACACGAGGGCTATCTGCGCTAGCCGTCCCTAATTTAGCAGTGATAGATTAGAAGGAATGCAGCTACTCATCATCACCCACCGCCAACTTTTGGGCTACTCTTTTACTAATGAATAGTGGGATTCACCGTCACGTTATAACGCCCCCACGGCTGAAAGGGCGAACATATTTGGTGTGACGAGGATTCAAACCCGCAGATTGCGAGTCGAGCACCCTAACCACCTGGCCATTCCTGGCCCAACAATATATATATATACTCACTAGCGAACCCGTGGGCCTATGGCCCACATTTACAGGGCCACTATAATACAAATTTAATTCTTGAACTACTATTTTACATTTTTTTTCAGTTTATTTATCGTTGCTGCTGTAATTCCAATTTAATATCCTTAACCAAGTTCCGAACGGTAATTAGTAGTCCTACTTACTTACGTACTATAATGTAAATCAATGCCCAATTTGCGGCCCGCTTTCGAGGAATCCTCGTAAAAGGGTTTTCGCGAAATACCCACCTTCCCTAAGTGGTTGGGTGAAAAGTTTTCCTTTTGTGCAAACCTCGGGGCCGAGACGATTCGTTTGGCACCATTTAGAAGTTGGCGAGTCTAGCAGTTTAGGATCAGGAATTTGGGGGAAATCCCGGGTTCCCCAAGAGATGAGATGAAAATTTTAACTTTGTGCAAATCTCGGGGCCGAGACGATTCGTTTGGTGCCACTTAGAAGATGGTGCGACCAGGGGTTTAGGAGGAGTTACGTGACACACACATACACAACAGACACTGAATCTTGTTATCACTATACGTGTACTTAAACATCAGATTATTTATATACGCATAACGCGTACTTTATACGGCATACACATATACATAATCCATATGTATGTTACGCGCCTTTTTATCAAGTTGCGCCTTTGATAAGACGCGCGTTGCTTTTTGTCATTTGATAAATGGAGCCGCTTTCTTATACAAATCGCAAGGCTATGTACTTGTCCAGAACTTTAGGACATATATACATAATATATATTATTATTATTATGTATAATATATACCAATCACCTGTCTTACAGCCAGCGCTTTCACAGCCTAAAAGCTGCTTGATCTTCAGATAATCCGAAAATATATAAACCAACCTTAGCTAAACAAAGTTGATAAAAAAAATCACAAAAAACGTAAATAAATATATATATACATATACGTTTCCATAGAAATGTAAACAGACACGTTATAACTATACTTTCGTGAAGATGTAAACACAATATAAACACATATTTTAAATATATAGCATATTCGGAATAATTAACCGTTTAAAGTGCAATTAAATGACTGATTCAAAAACAATTTTCTTACATGGTATTTGTTAAAATGTCCCGATCATTTAAATGGACTAAAGCAGGGATTTCACACGTGACTTATGCATTTTAATTACGTATTAAACATATTAAGATATTAGTACCCTTTCATGAATTATATGTAAAGTGTTTGTTAATTTTAAATATTACAGTTTCATTTTACATGTTTATACTAGGACGAGTCTTACGTCTGTCCTTATGCCAAAGTAAACGATTTTAGACTCTTAGGTTGTCTATAACCCGCATGTATTTTATTGTTACTTACAATTTGTTTAATTTTCTTTGATGTGCAGTTTCCTAATCATTGTTTGATGTTACCTTCTGTGTTTGTTGCAACAATTGTTAAGATGTTCTGGTTATGATACGGCAGATCGTATTGTTTGGCGCGAAAACATCTCATTGTTCATTACGCCTTCTGGATAATTACGATTTGATAAAAAAAAAATGTTCTAAATCGTTTAACGGAGAAACTCCACTTTATCGCTAGTGTAGAAATGTTACGATAAATACATTCATATGCCCATACACGTGCAACAACAACATGAAGAAATGTAAGAACCATTGTTACGTCAGTCGCCGGTCCGATGAACTCGTGAACCTACTAACTCATCGCCAAGCTTGGTTTGTTCTTAGGCTTCGACGTAAATCCCGCTATTAAAAATACTGATGTAAAATCAAACGATTTATAAACTTTAATAATTCTGTTATGTAAAGATATCATGCATGAACACCTGCAAACGTATAAGGAAATATAATTTACTTATAACTTTCTTATACTTATATTAAACTGACTATATTAAATTGTTCCACAAAATAATAGGTATATATATATTGTTACGTCTCCGTTCGTTA